TCCCCCCTCCCCCCCCGCTTCCAGACGTGTCCCCCAGGATCAAGGTGAAATTTATGTACTCTGGGCCCTGTGGTGACCAGGCCCGTGTGGAGGCAGGCTCTGTCCCGAGATGTGCCAGCCCCTGGCTGGGTTGAAAAATGCCCAAATACCAAGTTCCTGCCCACGTGAGCTCGGCCTAGAGAGGAAGCCAGATCGTGAATATGAACTTACAGCCCAGCCAGGCAGACAGGAAGTTATGGAAAGTCAGGGTTTACCGCTTTCAGAGCCTCGGCTCAGCCCTCCGAGCCAGGCCCCTTTCGCGCTGCGGTGACTCACAGCGGCCTAAAAAGTGTGGTTTTGAACTCTATATCCAGTAGTTTGCTTTCCTCCATTTCTGTCATTTGTGTCCTCTTTCTTTGTCTCGGCATTTTTTATGCTTCGCTGTGTTGATAGAGTGACTTTCTGTGCTAAGTGTCCCAATTACCTGAGGTAGACACTCTTGGTGCACCCCCTTGTGGGCTTTGTGCACAGTCTTGTTTTAGTTAAGCCTTGATTGTTGTAGTTATCACTGTGAGGAATTGACCTCCAGGCCAATTGGCTGTGAGAAACAGCTGTGTCTACGGTGGGAGAACTTCTGTGCTGAAGACACCCTTATGGGGCAAGACTTGCTTCAGTGGGGCTTTGGTGCTCACTGAGTCTGCCCCCTGAGTGTGTCCCTTATAGATCTGAGGAGTTGTAATTGGATGGTCCCACTCTGACCACTGGGTACACTGGCTCTTGGAGCTAAGGAGGTGCTAATCTAGCCTCTGCCTGAGGCTACCCAGCAGAAGCCAGCTGTAAAGCAATGCAAGTTGCCCTGGGGCCTTGGGGCAGCTGCAGTTTGTTAAGTAATTTTCAGATTACAAAGGGCCGGGCCTTTCATATGCAAAAGCTTCCGTGCACGCTTGGGCGGGTCGGGGTCCCAGGGGATCAACAGGGTGGGCAGAGTAAGCAGTATGGCTGCTCTCAGTCCTGCCCTCAGAGGCCGTGGCAATCGCTGCAAGCGCCTCTGAGAGAAAGCTGCCCTGAAGTTCCGACCAATGCCAGACAGTCCCGTTTCTCCCGTATGAGTCTGGGTCCCCAGAGACTCGCCCGGAACTGGAGCTCAGAGCCTGAGACTCCATCCTGATTGAAAAAGACAATTGTGTCCTCAGCTGCCAGCCCTCTCCGCATGCACCTCCGCACCTTTGTATTTTACTTCCGCACGGCACCTCCACTGAGTCTCAGTATGCTTTTCTCTTTCCTTCTAGTTGTAGAAATTCCACTCAGCCAGCCTTCCTGTGGTTCTGGATGATGTCCGTTCCGTCTTTTAGTTGTATTTTTGAAGTGGTTGTTCGAGGCAGCAATCTCTGGTGTTTACCTATGCCGCCATCTTGGTTTCTCCCCCATTTACATTTAAAGGTAGTATTGATAGGTACTTGTTTGTCGCCATTTTATTCTTCATGCCTGTGTTCCTTCTTCCCTCCAATTTCTTCTTTTGACAGCAGACCCTTTAGCATTGCTTGCATTGCTGGTTTGGTGGTAATAGACTCCCTTAGTTCTTTTTTGTCTGTGAAGCTCCTGATTTCACCCTCAACTTTGATTGATAACCTTGCTGGGTACAGTATTCTTGGATTCAGACCATTGCTTTGCATGACTTTGTATATTTCATTCCATTCCCTTCTGGCCTGATGTGTTCCTGTTGAGAAATCAGTTGATAGTCTGATGGGAGATCCCTTGTAGGTAACTTTCTGTGTCTCTCTGGCAGCCTTTAAGATTCTTACTTTGTCGTTGGTGTTTGCCAATTTAATTATATTGTGTCTTGGTGTCAGTCTTTTGGGGTTTGCCTTGTTTGGGACTCTGTGAGCTTTTTAGACTTGTGTGAATTTTTTCTTCCTGATATTGGGGATGTTTTCTGTCATTTTTTTCTTCAAACAGGTTTCTAATCATTGCTCAGTTTCTTCTCCTTCTGACACCCCCCCGATGCAAATGTTGTTTTGTTTCATGTTGTCCCAATGTTCCCTTAGGCTCTTCTCCTGTTTTTTAAGGTTTTTTTTTTTCAGTTGCTGCTCTGCTTGGGTATTTTTTTATCTTGTCTTCTAGCTCACTGATACTGTCCGTCCACTTCTTCTAGTCTACTGTTGAGGCTTATATTGTGCTCTCTATTTGCAGCGATGATAAACTCCTTGCATGTGCTTAGATCATATCAAGGGACTTTAGGAAGCATCAATTTATGGCTCTGCCGTATA